GAATCTAATAGACGCCGATCCAAGGCGGATTTGAAGTAGGTTACTTCTAGAGAGTAGTATTGTTTGCAATGCACGCCGAAATCTTCGATTTTATTCAGTGGGATCGTTTGATATTCGGACGGTTCGTCATTTTGGGACTTGTAGCCTTTGGGGTAGGTCCTAAAAGCGCCCAGGCAGACCTTTCCGGAGGAGATTGTGCGCACTGGATCGATGACAATAGCGACGAATGGCTCCTGATAGCTTTGATTCGTCATTTGCGTGGAAACATCGATACCGGACAACCAACAACCGTAGCCTGGATGGCTGTGGTACCATCCGATAGCGTTTTCTTCGCGGCCAACCTAAATATTAAGAAAAGATAGTAAAAAAATTCAAACTATCACATTTTAAAGTTGTTTTTACCAATTTTGCTGAGGTAATATATGAACTCATGTATTCATATGCTTGGGCTTGAGCATTTACTCTGGTTTCAGTACCTTCTACAGGCAGAGCAAATGAATCCATGACAAACATGGTGTTTCCATCAACTTTTCCTAAGAGTAAACCCATTACTTCTAAGGTTCCACCTGATCTGGCATGCATCACCATTTTTAGCAATGCCAGTGCTGATATTTTGATGTCTTTAAAGAAATTTGGACTGTAAATAAACCAATTGATTATTTACTTAGTGAATACATTAAAAACATGAAATTATTACTCTTTATCCCAAGGTTTAGCTTTCAAAATATCCTGCTGCTGTTGTTTGTCATATCTGTAGATCTCATCAACTGAATTGATTGTTTCTATCTTATTTTGAAGCTCCCAGGTCTTCTGACCGATTGTTCTTTGTGAATCCGACGAAGTACCCGCCATAGCTATGATATTAAACAATAAAAAATAATTTTAATGCTTCACCGCAAATATTATAGGTTAAAATGGAAGAAAATGAGAATTTTATTGAATTTATTAAGAATTTTGAGTGAGAATGATGTTTAAACTGTTACTAAATAAAGTAATCTTATATTAGTATCAACGAAATGTTCATAATTTACCTGCTGATAATTAAATCAACGCTAGATTATTTGTTTTGACACTCCGGAAAACAAAGAATAGTGTTTTCTTTGAGAAGTAAAACTGGTTGCCTATATTTAATTCCAGTTCTGTAGGTTGCATGTATTAAGAACCTGTATATTACATATTTGAGAAAAGTAATAAAAGCGGAGGTCAAGTTATTATTTTGTTGCTCTCTTTCAAGGAACGATGAAGTCATC